AGAAATGAGGAGATCCGTAGGAGAACCAGAGTGACTGACATAGCCCGCAGAATCGCTAAAATCAAGTGGTTGTGGGCGGGGCACATAGCTCGGAGAGCTGATGGCCGCTGGGGTAGGAAAGTTCTTGAGGTGCGACCACGAGCCGGAAGACGTTGCGTGGGCAGGCCTCCCACTAGGTGGACCGACGATCTGGTGAAGGTCGCGGGAGGTGCCTGGATGCAAGCGGCACAGGACCGGTCTTTGTGGAAATCCTTTGTCCAGCAGTGGACGTCTTTCGGCTGAAACGAACGAACGAACGAACTACTTTTGGTTACTTTATCTATCTCAAATTCTTTCACAGGTCCGCAACATAAGCACACGCATGAACTGTCTCATGCCTAGGGCGGCGTCCATCAAGTCGTTCACTGAGAAACAGCAGAAGCTGATTTCAGCTGCGCAGGGTGACGACAAACCTAAAGGATTCTCAGAGTTCTTCATCCCGGAGTTCTGTATCAAGTATGACTTCCCAGGCGTGCTGTGGTACAAGGCTATACTGCTGCCGAGTATTGTTCACAGGTAACATTTAGATAATTATATCAGTTTACCATGGTTCTCTATAAGTACGTCATATACCTATAGTAGTTCCTAGACTAGACAAGCTGTATTTAATAAAAATTGTGTCTCAAATTACGTGAATGAATGAGGGTTATCGTATTTGCCCTCACCATTTGGCGCCACTGTTCTAGACACGCGGGAGCGTGTCAAACCAAGTTCAAGCAAAGGAACTGCCTAGCCAGCGCCGAGTGTAATATTACATGAACCATTTGGTGCCACTTTTGACCCTACTATCACACTAGTGGAAGACAGTGGCGCCACTTTTACTCACACACTAGTGGCTAAGACAATGGCGCCAACTTTTGAGCGGTGAAGCGGCAGGTAGACTATTGCATTTGCACCCACCGGGATGGAGCCACTGCAGAGTAAGGTCTTGTCACTCGAAAGTGGTGACAACTGTTAAGTACAAAAAGGGCTATCATTTTTGCTTCAGATTCACTTAACCGTCATCAATTATGTTTTGTTTTAGAGTGTTCATGCTGCTTGTCGCACACGAGCTCAGAGAAGAAATTGTTGCTGAGACCAAGTACGGTAAAGGACGACTTGATAAAGGTAAATTGAACTGTTAATTGGCTAAATGTTTTTCTTATTTTGAAATAACAAAACGAACTTGTTGGTAAAACTCTTTTCTTTTTTAGGTGAGGAATGGAAACCGATACAAGTGGACATAGAAATAGCCAAGAAATCGCTTCTATCCCACATAGAAGAGCCAACACCGGTCAACACAATCGACAGGTAAGCAGTTTATATTGTACTTGACAAGCAAATAGTTATGTACAGTCACGGAATGAAAAGGTTCGTCAGTTTTCAAATTGATTCCTTCAACGAATCACGAGCACATATTACCTTTTGAAACTATGTTACAGAATAATCTCGAGTTAGAGAAAATAATCTTTAACTGTTCGTCAGTAAAGTTCAAAATTATTCAGAAGTTGTTTGACGATTTAACTTGTCAAGAAGATTATTATGATTGATAAACTAAAACCTTCTTGTTGGTTCAACCTGCCATTATCTATTAAATAAAAAAAAACTACATTTTGTAACATTGCACTGATGGGATAGAAAAATAAACAAGCAAAACCTTATTCGTTAACAAACGTCATATTTATTTAAATGTTAGCAGCACTGTTTCATGCACGGTTATGTTGGCAGCTTTGATTCTTACAGTACCTATCTAGTGCAAGCGAAAACCGACACTAAGATGACGAACCTTTTCATTCCGCGACTGTACAATAGGCGTCAAATAGTTCGTGACACCCAAAGTAGCCAAAAAGGTCGCAACTAGTCTTTGTTGCAATGAGGGCGATCGTTTTTATACTTAACAGTTGGCACCCCTGGCGATTGACAGGACCTTATTCTACAGTGGCGCCATCTTGATGAGTGCAAATGCGATAGTCCTCCTACCACTTTAGCGCTCACCAGTTCGGTGCCACTGTCTTCGCTACTAGCAAGTGACAGGACCTTACTCTACAGTGGCGCTAACTGGTGAGCGCTAAAACGATAGCCCTCATTGGAATAAGGTTGTGTTATCAACCTTTTGGCCACTTTGGGTATCACGAACTATTTGACGCTGAGTGTAAATTACTAGAGTAGGTATTATTAATTGTATATTTTTCTTTATCCTACAGGATAAACAACCCAATCGATGACAGCATACCGAGACCCCTCAATATTGTTTCCATGAAAGAAACAATCTATCAACTGCAAAATAAGAAAATCAGCAAAGAATATCCTTGGGACGTAAGTCTTGTTCAAAATTCTTGACTTTTTAATTTTTCCTAAAGTAAATAGGCACTGATTTATCTCTAAAATTGGAATGATGCTTTTTGTCATTGGATGCGTTTGGCGGAAAATAGAAATTGTATGCGCTTATAAGCAAAATTGCGATCGCTAAGCGGCAAGTGCTGTCACTGCTAAAACTGATTGAAACGTCACTATTGAAGTTAGCAAACGTGTCCTCGCGGCCTCGCCGAAAACAGCCGAAACTTTTCGGCGGTTGCCAATGTTGCCATAGCGATCGATTTGCAAGTGCTTATAATTTATATTTTCCGCCAAACGCCCCCATTCTCTAAGAAGTTTTGTTACTAAGCTTCACATTTTTCCTTAGGAAACAATGGAACCCGTGGACATAGAACGCAACTTGTCCTCAGTGACCGTGATGGACATAGAATGTTACGACGAATTCGTATCTGCTCCCCTGGAGCCTAAAAGTCGGCCTGATCAGGTCAAATCTCCAGTCAAAGTTCCCACTTCCGCGGCTATATTACCGCCGCCATTGAAGTAAGTTCTTTAGTCTACTAAGAAATAAAAATTAATACTATTACATCAGAGTAATACTCGAGCCAATAGTTAGTACTGGCGTATGACGCCATTGCAGGTAAAATTATTCCAGTTTTCCAGACAGTTTCATTCAGTAGCGTTGCGCCAATATTCCAAATGCAAAACATACCATACCATTTATGCACAAATGCATACCTACTTGGAATATTAAAAAACAACATTCCATATAAATAATAATAAATACTATACTTTACAATTTCAAATGTCATATACAGGCGTAAAAAAAGATAAAAAAATCACCATTTAAAAATATGTGACTGTCCTTTGTTTGCGTTTCATTTTGTGATGAATCATCTAATCAAATCAACCGTTCCACAGATACAACGACAAAATTGGGATTCTATCAAAAAAACCGACCGACCGTGGGCCAGAACTAAAGGATATACTCGCGGCCCTCACCACAATCAATTCCGGAGACACTTTCAACCTGGAACGAGTGGAGACTCTTGGGGACTCCTTCTTAAAGTTCGCGGGCAGCCTTTATCTGTTCCACAAGTTCCCGAAGCTGAATGAGGGACAGCTGACCAATATCAAGAGCAGACTCATCGGAAACAGGTAAGCTGCTTGGAGGACCGGCGACCTCAAGAAGATAGCTGATTTGGTTATGGTGGTTAACATTCGATAAAATAAGTATGCAAGACTAACACACCTGACTACCCAATGATGTACAGGTTGTTATTTATATACCAAACAATTTTTTTTTCTGTGCGTTATTGTTTCATTTCTAAAACAGCCTGCTTATGTTAGCTGATAGTCAGATGTTTAGGTTTATTATTTACTTTGACNCGAAATAAACACAACACATGACAAGAAGACAACCCTGGCGCGACGGCCGAGCGTGCGAGCGAGAGAGGTATGCAAAGCGAGGTACATACATGAGTTTACCTTCTGTTATATTTTGTGACTGTACAGTCCAATTTGTGCTTCTGTATATTAGTAACTTTTGGTTAATGAAGACTTCATTTTCAGGAACTTGTACTACGCGGGCGCTCGCGTTCGTTTGGGAGGCCGCATGAAGGTGGAACAGTTTAGTCCGCGGAAAGACTTCCTGGTACCTGGTTTCTTCGCACCCAAGGAGGCAGAAAACTTCATCAATTCTAGACAGGTAAGTGATAATATAAACTGATCTGATATATAAGTGATCTGGTAAAGGTCGCGGGAAGAGCCTGGATGCGGGCAGCGCAGGACCGTTCATTGTGGAAAACCTTGGGGGAGGCCTTTGTCCAGCAGTGGACGTCATTTGGCTGAAAAGAAAGAAAGAAAGAAGTGATAATACTTAGCTCTAAGATCAATCTCTCGAAATTAATTTTCCCAGAGAAGCACATTCCACATTGAAAGTATTTCTTACTCTGTGTAACTGCTGCGGCCGTCAATACACGGACAGCTCGACCAGTTAGTCAGTGATCAACATACACGGACCGCTCTTGCAGTCAAGAGTCAACAGCTTGAAGCTGCCAGTGATAACTGCTCAACAAATCACAAGCGCGCGCGCCGTGGAATGAAGAAAGTGGGCGGAGGTAACTGCGCGAGAGCTGTCGACAGCTCGAGCAGTCAGTGTATGGCTGGCGACTGCTTGACCGCACGATGAAAATTCACCGTCCTGTCGACCGCCCGAATCAGTTGCAACTGCTCGAGCGGTTCGTGTATGTGCGTCCATAGAACTCTGCAGTTCACTGTGCAGTCGCAGCTTGAAGCTGTCGACCCTGACTGCTTCAAGCGGTCCGTGTATTGCCGGCCTAAACTGTTCGAATTATGTATGATGCTAAGCTGCTTCCTCTATTTAAATTGTGACAATCGAGTTCACAAGCTACTTGGTTGTCCTATCTCTAGTCATGTCAAATTGTCTAATGTCACCTGCACTATCCTACAGCGCAAGGACTAGAAGGGTTTTTCTTAGTTATGGAAAATAAAACCATGTAAATGAAATCATTCCTTTTGTTTAATATCTGACAATATGTCAAAATATTTTCCAAATCTGGTTATTAAAAACATACATCGAAACATTGATTAATAAAGAATTCTATTGTCAAAGTTTTGTTATTATTAAACATTACTCGTAATACAAATCAGTCTATACTCGCTAAACCAATATAACTTAACCTAAAAATACTTGTATGCCAATCGCTTATCCTCTGTTTTTATATCGGGTTAAAATATAAATTGAAAAATATTGCCTAATTGAATTGTATGGAACTAATTTAAGTACGAATAAAAACAGTGAGCATTTGCGAAATACTACATTCAATCTTCTTAACTATAGCGTGGTGTAACACAGGCATAGATATTTTTTTGTGATGCACCAATGGGTCAATAGGACTTCAGAAGTTATTTGGAATAATATTCATTCCTTTTGTAATGATTTTAAGAAAGTTCACTGTAGTATTTAGCCGTTACAATTACATCTAGACAATATTGATTGATTTTAAAAAATACGTATGTACATAGAAATCGAATGAAGACAACTAAAACAGAAAAGAAAATAAGCGTTTTGACCCCGTAATCTAATCTTTAAACCGATTAGTTATATCTCATTGAGTTATTAAAACATACAAAACATTATTAACCTCACAACCTTGTGTAACTATAATTTGGCCACTCGCTTGTTTGCGAGGCAAACGAGGGAGCGAATCGAAATAATTACATAATAATATACATAGGACATAAACATGTAATTAGATGTCAAACATAATGTTATTGAAACAGCCTAATTTGTAATATGACTCAACAAATACATACAAGTAAAGCTTAGTTGTATTTTATTTAAAGATAGCAAAGTATTGCCAAGTCACGTCACATCTGAGACATTTCATACCTAAAAGGTGAAAGTTGTTAACTTATGTCCGAGTTTGTACCGCATCATACATACAACAATACGTTCATATTTGGTAACACATTGAGACCATGTTAAAGTTCTCTTGTCATATAAAAAGTACAAAAAATTGGTTTTAAAGAGTCACAGTTAGACATATTAAGTGGTAAACTTTACTTTTATCTTCGAGACTTGTTGTGGAACGCCAAGAAGGCAGCGCCCGCTGCGTACACGTCATCGGCTAGCATTTGTGGTGTCTGCAATCCAGCAAAATGGCCGCCGACGTCGACCGTTGTTGATCGGACTAGATTGGGGAATTTGTCCTTCAAAATCCAATCTGGTTGGTAGAGGACTTCGTACTTGAAGTTGATTGCTGCTGTCGGCACCGGTGTCGGAATTCTGAAACGAGAAAATATTGCTTTAGTGGTCTGTTCTAACCCTGTTATAATATATTGTGCTATAGAAAATTCATGCTTTAAGAATGGCCAGCAGAAATCGATCGAAATTAAGTAACATACGCGTAATTTTACTGATTTTTTTAAAAGTAAATATGTAAGCTGGTGGTGCTGTCGAACTTAGAAAAGGCTTTAGAAGTAGGGTGATAGGACTAATAGACTAAGTTCTATGTCAATAACAAACCACCAGTATTAAACTTAAGCTGTTCCGATACTGAAACTTTATATCAATACAAGATGTAACCGATTAAACAAACATTATTTTAAGAAGCATTCGCCCTGCCCACTGCTCGAATGCAACAACTTTCACTATGGGGCCAGTGTCGAAATCTCAGTTTCATAATAATATCGTACTTATTATTATTCTGTGATATATTGTGCTATGAAAATTTCAACTTACTCCTGCACCAGCACGACTTCAGGCTGCTGAAATCCCTCAGCATAGATCCTGCTCGAGGTGACTATGCAGTTGTTCGCCCAGATAATGGTAATGGTGTCTAACACATCGTCCAAGTTGAGGTTCTCGATGCCTCCGTGGGGAGTGTTCAGTTGGTCCCTATTGCTGCATATGGCCATTTTCTCAATCACGTACGCGGCCAGACCTACTGGTGAATCAGTTAGGGCAACACCTGGAAATTAAAGAGGTTTTAATTAGCAGTTGTATAATCACTGTAAAACTTTGAGTCGCTTTAGTTTACCGACGCGACGGCTTTAACCTTTAAACGGTTCTTTCCCTGGGCTGTCCGGAAGAGACCGTAGGTATACTAGGTATAAGACCGCCTAAATTGTGTCGTTTCAAACTTGAATTTCTTTTGTCAACTTTGTCTGATGTGCAAGATTATATCTATCTTATAGCCACCATAGAAAAAAATGTTATCATATAAAAAATAAAATGCTTACCAACAGTGTCCGGCTTAGTGGATTGTATGTGAAAGTATCCGCTCTCTCTTATCAGGTATGAGAATAATTTTTTCAAGGGATACACCCTGCTGACATACTTAGGATCAACAACCAAATTCGGGAAGAACGATCCTAACAGCAGCTTGAAGGAGCTGATGGGTCTTGAAGATATCGGCATGTTTGTGTGGTATCTGAAAAATAAACAAATCAAATCATTTATTTGTATTACATGTGTAACTTTTAAATAAATTAATACTTTTTGCTTGTATTAGGTATATGCTTAAGAAAATGTATCCATGGATTCTGGTAGGATAGTGTTTTTATGCAAATAAAATGATAAATCTATTACTGCTTTAAAAGTTTTATCTGCTGCTCAAGTAGGGTTAGTATTTTTTAAAATGAAAAGTAAAACTAGTGAGGAAATTATCTCGAGCTTTTAGAGAGATCATTTACTTCCTTTTATCAGTATAATTATTATTTTTTTTATAATTCTTTTGACGTGACATAAATATGTATATCTACTGAGAAAAAATGTAATTACCCTAGTATGTCTTCAGGGAATAACGTGGCCATATGGCTGGCGCATTGTGACCCCCAGTCTCCCGCTTGAATATAGAACTTTTCGTGGCCAAGCCTTTTCATTAGGTTTTTCAGCATTATGCCCATTTGAACTGGGTTCAAACCAGGCTTATTTGTGCCCTGAAAATAGTGAAATACATTTTACTATAGGTATTATACAACTTTTTTTATGATTTGTGATCAGAATAAGCTACTTAATCAACTTTCTAAATATGGCGAGGATTGTAATCAACACCCTGTATTCTATTTAAAATACAATACATATTTTCTCAAAATTCCAAGTTGTGTTACTATAATAGAAGTTTCACATCAATAACATTGAATTTATATTAGCGAGTACACGTGTATGGTGAAGCAAAAAAATAACACTTGGAAAATATATTTAGAATCTACCAAAAGGTCAATAATACTTGTTTGATTTTTTCTGTTTTGCCGCTATTAGCATGATATCGCATGTATACGTTTGAGTCAACAGTAATTATTTAAATTATCCACTTGGTCATATAATAGGAAACTTACCTCAGAAAATCCAAAGCCAGGGAGATCGGCTGCTATAACTTCATATACGAAGTCGTACCCATCTTTGGGCGTAGTCAACATCGGTATAACTTTGTCGAACTCTTTAGAGGAACTTGGCCATCCGTGGAGCATCAGTAAGGGCAAGACCTTTAACCCTCTCGCGTCGGGCTTCACTCGCATGAAATGGATATCCAAACCTTGTATTCTCGTTTTATAATGCGGGTATCTATTCAGTAACGCGGCTCTGCCCTTAAAGTCGTATTTATCGACCCAGTACTCAAGAATTTTCTCAAGGTATAAGGTGTTCATCCCATATTCCGATTGGATGCCTTCTAAGGGTCTTGTCAACGGTCGTCTATTTCTTATCCTCTGCTTTAAATCGTGTATCATCTGAAAACAGCATTAGGCACTTTAATGATCTCAATTAAAGTTCTACGTCCAAAAGGACGTTAGTCCCTAACTGGTATAACAAAATTGCTTTGACACGAATTTATCCTACTAACATGTGCTTACGTTTTTGTGTGGTAGCGTGACTAGCACTATTTTCGCCACAAATCACTATTCCATATGAATTGTGAAATCTTGTACGATAATACTCAGGCACTCTTTTGGTACAAATTGACTCTTTTTGAGAGTTTCATCTAACATTTAATTACACATTTCTTACCGTATCATTAAAGTCTACGCTGAATATTCTAATCGAAGTGTCTTCTTCCTTTGGTTTGCTTCCAATGCCCCACCATTTCTCCAAGTCGAATCTGGGTCTCTCTGGGACTTTATATCGGACGTAGGTAATCACTAGTCCTGCTCCAATTGCTATCACCACCGCGATGGATGACATTAATCTGTACATCTGAAAAAATAAACAAATAGTGGGAACTTTTTTATGCCACAAAAAGTTAAGAGGACAAAATTGCTAAGAAACTGCTCTAAATGCTTGTATCGGTGAAATTGTGACGCAATGTATTTTGGCCTCTTGGAGTAGGTTAGTAGCCCTCTTGGTTGTATAACTTGGCAGTTGTCTTTTTACGATCGTTTCTTTGTTTTGTAAAGTTTTATTTATTACTAGCTTTCGCCCGCGGCTTCACCCGCGTGAAATTTAGTTTATCACAGATCGTCATAAATTATAGCCTATATTATGTTATTCNTTGATGAAATTTGGCATAGAGATAGTTTGAGTCCCGGGAAAGAACATAGGATAGTTTTTATCCCGGTTTTTGAAACAGGGACGCGCGCGATAATGTTTTTCTGTGACAGACAAAATTCCACGCGGGTGAAGCCGCGGGCGGAAAGCTAGTAAACAATAATACTGTAACGTTTCATCAAAATCCGTTCAGTAGTTGTTGCGTGAAAGAGTAACAAAGATCCAGACATCCAAACTTTCGCATTTATAATATTAGTAGGATTTTATTAATGTGACCATGCCATAAAAGGACGTTCGTATATTCGCGTGAACCATTGGCTAAAAGATATTCTGTGTTAAAAGCAAATTCACTCGATTCTAGTACCTGTTGATGTAACTTTCTAGCAGTCAAAAAGTTGTAAAAATAGAAATAATAATCACATCATTTGGCAATCTTTTTGTGTTGTTAGACACTTATGATAATTAAATCTTAAGCAAACTTATAAAAGCGGTTAAAAGTGCTTTGTATACTCATATGTAGGTAGTTAAAAATGGCTGTTAGAACGACAAAAGTTACACCTTTTGCTATAACTTGCCACTGATATCCGACTTGCCACTAGTGTTAATTTAATGATGGTGATAATGTAATTTATTTTATAAAAAAGTTAGTTTTTTTTAAGAATAGTGCACTATGCAACCTATTGCGACGAAATAAAATCATTTATCTGCAGTCCAAACTCATCGCGTCGGTTTACCTAAGGTTATATTTGGATAAATGCATTATTATAATGTAAATGTCTCGTCATCTTGGTGCAATAATAATTTTTCATTTCATGTATAAGACAGTGTAACAATTTAATCTTATTTTTACATAAAGTAGTAAAAAGAAAACTTTAGAGTTATTTAGTTTAATATGCCACAATGAAATAAGCAGTTAGGTTTGTAAACTAACCAAATCTCTAAGTAAACAATTTCTCTTACCATTCCATTTAGAATGGTCTGCAAAGTTTGTATTTGTTTAAGAGCCTCACGCATAATGATTTTATTTACCGTCTTTTTAATTAGTGACTTTTTAATTTTGCAAATCTCGGCTCGTTACAATCACTTGGTAACCGTAATAAGATATGTAACGGTCGTCCACGTGCTGTTCGCGGAATGTGTACGGTAAACTTATTTGCAAAGTTCTCTTCGATTTTTTAACAATAATTTGATTGTTCTACATTATCATGTTTGCTATCAGAAGCCTTACAAATTGATATAAAATAACCGTTGTCCCTGTGGCATAATGTTATTTGGCGGGTAGCTGGTACTACTCGTAGTTGGAGAAAATTGAACAATAAAGATGAATAAATAAATGGTTTTATACTAGTTTAAAGCTTATTTCAAAGTAATTGACAGTTCATGCGAATTTGTGGTAAAATTAATTCGATAGATACTTATTTAAAGATACAACATGTACCTCCCTCCACATTAAAGGTACCTATATTTTTTATCATTTCCGCGATTTATCGGTCATTCTAATGTCACGGCAAATATCTATATCTTCGATATCCTCCAAGCAATTACTTATGTACTCGTTAAAAACTAGAGATAAATACACCTGTACTTTGCAGATTTTTATAGTTTATTGTAATGGTACTCTACCCGCACATCGCAAATCGAATAATTTATGCAACGAGATAACTATAGTATCGTAAACAAACCGTGGAATAAATTACACCGGTACAAAAATACACCATTATTAATTTACACGTGTTATTTGCAAAAGATTTTGAATTTAAAATTTCGTTATGACTTCGAATACGAATAAACCAAAATAATACCCTCATTTTCTCAAAATCATATTTTAAAACCACAAACCTTTGGTATAGAAGTCTTCAGCAGTAGAAATAACAAAAACACGTATCGCGATCACAATGCACGAATAAACCGGCACTATGTATCAGCAATGAGATGAGCACGTGCGTCTGCGCTCGCGTCGGCCGCCGAAATCGTTTTGTATGCTTGACGTATGGTAACTAGGGGTTCACGCAAATTCGGCCTCGACCTAGCAAAAGCCGCCGGATCACTGAACGCTACGCGAAACTATGCAATCTATTTTATTTATCTATACTATCTATACTAATATTATAAAGTTGAAGAGGTTGTTTGTTTACTAGTACACGCTTATCTCAGGAACTAATAGTCCGATTTGAAAAAATATTTTGGTGTTAGATAGCCCATTTATCGAGGAAATCTTTAGGCTATATAAAATCATCCTAATTCCTACAGTCAATAGGGGCGGGCGGAGCAGTAAAAAAAATGTTGCAAAAACGGAAATTATTATTCAAAGTAAATAATATTTTCACGCGTACGAAGTTAGTTGTTGATAATGCTGATAGCGTAATCGCAAGATTACCTGATACCCTGATATAACTTCATGGTCTGTGGTATCTATGAAGTCGTAGAAGTGTTGATGTCTGAGAATTTGAAATTGCGTAGGTTATCATATTTTTTTTCCTTATTTTATCACTTTTATTACTGAGCTATTAGTATTTAACGTACAATTTAGATACCTGATAAATACGTAAACTAGACAACATAAAATATCGATAACTGATCCATACTTTGACTTAAAAAAATTGCAAGCCTTTGTGTATTCATGATATAGGTAGGTACGGACGGATCATACAAAATATAAATTGTGTTCTATGATTTCTTCTGCGAGTATCACTGCCCCCCTAGACAAAACGCACTTTTTGATCGAATCGAAAATCGAATCCGTCAAAACTCCATACAAAAAAGGGGCTTTTCGACCACTTTGCGACTGGTTTGCGATTATAATTTGCACTTTGTCTAGACCCACTGGTATCATCTGTGACCTGAATGATGTAATAAAAAGATTTTACTGTCTTAAAATAATTTTAATATATCTAAGTACAAGATAACTAGCCGACGACGAACACAAGTAGTCGACTTTTTGAAGTAAAAAAATAGGTTTTACGTAACAGAATACACAAGTAATAGTTTAATTTAAATGATTCGAAACATTAATAATAACAAGCTAAAATATTTTAGCTTCGCTTTCACTGTGGAAGCTTTTCTTTATGAATGATCTTAGCACTGTACCCTCCAGTTTGTGAATGTGTAACGCAGTCTTTTCATCTACCTTGATTGACTTATTTAACGATCAAAGTTCATCGTCTTATTGAAACATTTTAATATGTACCTGAAGTATTTTTATCACCACTACATACCTATTATAAAACGAAAGTGTCTGTTTGTCCCTATGATGTATGCTAAGATTTTTTTAAAACTACGCAACGGATTTTGATGCCTGTTCTTTTTAAATGGATAAGAGTGATTCAAAAGGAAGGTTTTTAAGTATGATATGTACCTGTGCGAAGCAGGGGTGGGTCGCTAGTTAGATTTATTTACTAAAGATTTAATAGAAGAATTACGATCGGGTATACGAATAAGATTGATTACAAACAATCTTGAGAATTCTTTTGTTATCATATTTTCATTTATTGTTATTGTGAAATGAAATGTATTGTGTCTGATACACTTCACACGTCATGCTGCCGACTTTTCATTTTGGAGCCTTGTTATAAACCTATGAAGTACACATAGCTGTACCATAAATACACTTAAAAAGGTGATATTTTCTTACTGCTGCCTACCTCCCAAAAAAAAAAACGATCGCGTAATACCTATTGTATTGCAAACAAAAACATAGTTTATTTACCAATTATTTTGATTAAATAATTAAATTTTTGAATAATCTTGACTCGTGTCATGAACTTTAAGAATAACTTGTCTCCACTTATTCCCATCTTTAGCTTCACACCCAACTGCTATTGTTTCAAATTCAAAACGTTTATTGCATGTCACATTACAATTTAGTTAGTAGGTTGCTGCAAAACTGTTTATATTTTTCCCTACTTTAATCATCATATTGTTTCAGATACGCCCAACGTTTCTAATCGGGATGTGCTTCAGCCGCGAGGAGGCGTTGCAAGGGTCTCTGTCTGAGGAGAGCCTGGAAGTCATCCAGCGCCGATACATCGACTGCGACGGCGCCGCCGATGCCGAGCCTGAGGGCCGAGCCCAGGTGGCCATGCAGGCCTACATACGGTCGCAGGCCGTGTCTGATAAGGTAAGCTACTTCTAGCTGTAGGTATCAAGTCCAACGTTTCTAATCGGGATGAGCTTCACCCGCGAGGAGGCGTTGCATGCTACTTCTAGCTGTAGGTATCAAGTTAAATGTTTCTAATCGGGATGAGATAATCATTTTTCTGCATAACCCGAATGCAAACAGGATAAGAATGCCTTGTCATTAAATTCGCCTAATGTTAAAATTTTAGCATTAAAGTATAAGGGAGAGTCCGCTAATTTGGACCAGTTTTTTTCAATCCCATTTTACACATAGTTTTCTTTTGTTTTTGCTAATGTCCATGGTATATAATAAAAGGTACATTATTCAACTTACTATTTCATAAGTATTNAGCTTCACCCGCGAGGAGGCGTTGCAAGGAACACTGTCTGAGGAGAGCCTGGAAGTCATCCAGCGCCGGTACATCGACTGCGACGGCGCCGCCGATGCCGAGCCCGAGGGCCGCGCCCAGGTGGCCATGCAGGCCTACAAACGGTCGCAGGCCGTGTCTGACAAGGTAAGCTACTTCTAGCTGTCGGTACCAAGTTCAATGTTCCTAATCGGGATGAGCTTCACCCGCGAGGAGGCGTTGCAAGGAACACTGTCTGAGGAGAGCCTGGAAGTCATCCAGCGCCGGTACATCGACTGCGACGGCGCCGCCGATGCGGAGCCCGAGGGCCGCGCCCAGGTGGCCATGCAGGCCTACATACGGTCGCAGGCCGTGTCTGACAAGGTAAGCTACTTCTAGCTGTTCTGAGGAGAGCCTGGAAGTCATCCAGCGCCGGTACATCGACTGCGACGGCGCCGCCGATGCGGAGCCCGAGGGCCGCGCCCAGGTGGCCATGCAGGCCTACATACGGTCACAGGCCGTGTCTGATAAAGTGAGCTAAGTAGGTGCTTCTAGCTGTTGGTATCAAGTTAAATGTTTCTAATCGGGATGAGATAATCATTTTTCTGCATAACCCGAAGGTAAACTTGATGAGAATGTCTTATGGCATTAAGTTCGCCTAATGTTAAAATTTTAGCATTAAAGTATATCAGTGGTTCCCAAACTTATTTAGTCTACTGCCCACTTTGAGAATAAATATTTTTAGCGCCCCCCATTTTTGTAGTCAAGAGTCGAGCTCAGTCGATGTCTAAGAGTCCTCTTAGTAGATGATGCCTCCCAAGCTTCTACACAACGTCCCGAATTCTTTTCTGGGTCTCTTACCGCCCCCCTTTTAGCCTGCAGCGCCCACAAGGGGGCGTTATCGCCCACTTTGGGAAAGACTGACTTCAGTCTTTCCCAAAGTGGGCGATAACGGTACAGCTAATTTATTTATTTATATACTTATATAAATAAATAAATTAGCTGTACCCGCAATTACGTGTAGCAAGGGGCACTATCTGAGGAGTGTAGGCCTAGTAAGCGTTTATCTCGCCATTTTATCAATTTCACGCGATAAACCCATACTTTTTGATGTCTAAAATCGTCGATAAGATTTTATCACAACGCGCTTCATATCCCGGCTGTACGTCATCCAGCGCTGGTTGGTACATCTACTGTCACGATGCTAGTGGACCGTAGGAACGGCTTTATGGTCCTTGCCATGATATTGTAACACCAAAATCATACCTATACCATAAACCATTTAATATTGTTTTAATTTTACGGCTATTTAATGGACGGTGATTTGTTTGTGATGATTTTAAATAAATAAATAAAACTAAATATTAAGACAGTGATTTACCCCTCGGCTCTTTAATTCGTATTAGATTAGGGCTTAGAATTTTAAAATATGTGTTCAGTACTATACTTACGTTACTTTGAATTTGAAATGAATCGAGCTAAAAATAGCGGAGTCAGAATAATACACATAAACGTTAATAACATAGCAACAATGCACACATAGTGTTAGGTAGGTACGTTCTCAGTTAGACGGCTAGACACGCGTGTTGGTTTATCATCAGATTTTGATGACTGACACGTGGAAGGAATCACCGTCTAACACTGATATCGGCATTATCGTTTACTCATAGTACTAAAACGTGTAAACGTTAAGTTAATACTAATTAAGTTCAAAATTGCAATGGTAAACTTTATGAAATTGATAGTAAGCGTCACATTAGTTAGGGTTATTGGTTCAAATCCTATTAAGGGCAAATGTTAGTAGGACTAGTACGAGTACCTGTAGTCATAGATATGTGTTTATAGTGTCTATTTAAGTACATTGTATATGTTTATCAATTATCTACTTAGTTACCATTATTTTATTATTTATCATAGGTAGGGTAGTAGGTAGGTAGACATACTCGTATCTACCATTTTTTTTGACTGATCCAGTGTCTAATATCTAATCTTTGATAAGAATACTCTTTTAATCACGAATTTACCAAAATTCGTGATGATATCGATTTTAATCATTTCATTTACATAGGCCTTCCCCAAAATTATTTTACTATGTCCGTTTTAATCCTGAATCAGTGTTTCATTCGATGTAAAACAAATACTTAGATGCATTGTAGAAATAGAAACGTGCAAATGTTGGTTTGGTATATTAAGCAGTAGGTACATGTTAACGAGAAAAGATACTTTAAGTTGTTACTGTGCTTGAGCCTTCATCAAGATCACATTCACACTACGCGGTCTCGGTCGGATTAGATGATATCAACATTATTTAAGATTTTGTTGCTTATCTACCTAAAGACTATGACAATTGATACATTTGCATTCTTTGTAACTATAGATAGTGAGTACTGTTGCCAAAACCGATTACAGTCTTACAATGACGAATTAATTTATGACGAGTATTGTTAGTTGTTACTCACGAATAACGCAAAAATGGAAAGTAGAGGATTTTGTAAGTTAACTTCGATAAGAAAGTAAGTCAGGCCAACTTTCATACGCGCACAATTATGCATTATTCATTAGTTTATCTGTATGGAA